GAAAGCACCGTCTTTGTCCTGGGTGTTGGCATTGTCCTTTCACCCTTGGTGTTTATCCTGGTCTCCTACAGCTACATTGTGAGGACTGTGTTACAAATCCGGTCAGCGTCAGGGAGGCAAAAGGCCTTCAACACCTGTGGCTCCCATCTCACCGTGGTCTCACTTTTCTATGGAAACATCATCTACATGTACATGCCACCAGGCAACAACTCCTCCCAGGACCAGGGCAAGTTCCTCACCCTCTTCTACAACATCGTCACCCCACTCCTCAATCCTCTCATCTATACCCTCAGAAACAAAGAGGTGAAGGGTGCGTTGAGAAGGCTGCTGCTGGGTAACAGAGAGGTAGGAAGGGAGTAAGAGCATCTCCAGCCTGATTGTCAACTCTATTCAGGACCATGGATGGCATCTGGAACCACTGGATCAGATCTGATTTTAGCCTGTGACTCCCAACTTGTTGGCCTTTTTTCTGGACTTCTGAAAGACTGATTCAGTTCCTACGTCATGCTGTATAAGCGAGCTGCACAACACATATCATTCAAAAACCTCTCTAGATGACCTATAAAGCAGGTCCAAAGAACAAAGTGAGATAGTTATTGAGTTCCCACCAACTTATACCAGAGTGCCGAGGAGGCAGCAACTTTTCTCAGATTTTTGTTTTCATTGTTGTTTGTTTTTAATTTGTCAACAGCATTCTGGATGCTTTCATCAGAATACCAATATGGCTATCCCTGCTGCTGACATAGACCAAGTGCATCTCTTACCTGACAGCTGTCAAACATTGGAATTCTTCACGGTTTGGTATTTTCTGTTTCCCAATTTCCCACCCAAAACTTTTCATCAAATCATACAGGTAGGTTTTTTTTTCTACCCTTCATCCCCAACTTTGGCATTTTCCCTAAAGTCTGGTGTAAGATTCTGGATAAACCGAGAAGTTAACCTGTAATAATGATACATGGGTCATTTAAATTTTAAAGCATCATTATTTTTCAAGTATGTTTATTTTTCATTAGTAAGAAGGACCTGATGTGTGTTAAATTCCTGCTATGTACCAGGCACTCTTAATTCATTTAATCCTCTTGGCATTTGTCTGAAGTCAGTGTGATTATCATTATCCTCATTTTACCTACTTAATACTTGAAGCTTGAACATCAAATCATTTGTTAAAGTAGAACTGAACCAGAGATTTACACCAAGCTCTGTCTCACTCCCAATTCCTGCTGTTTCTATTGCAACATGAATTTTTTAATAGGAAAAATCCTTAAGCACGTGACAAGTAGAGTCAAAGGCCCTTTGAGGCTAAAGAGCACTACTCGCTCTTTTTCTTTACATAAGGCTGTCCTTATGTAA